AATAAAAATTAGCTACGCTCGAGAATGTCGAATTGTTATTTTTTTTACAACTTTCCTGCCCTCCCCTTTCTTTACGTCACTCTCAAATTGTCAGATTACTGGAATATACACGTTTTAGCAGGTAATCAACTCACCCTACTTTAATCTGACTCGCTTTAGAATATCTGATGATCAATTTTTTTTTCACTAATCTGATCCTTTATCCCTCAGAGACGGCCTTATATATGGGGCTCATATTTGGTGGAGGTACTTAACCGGGTACAAGGTGTCCTGCTGTATATTAATCTGCCGCGCTTTAGTAAATCCCGAAATCTCCGCTTGGGCTCCCCTATTATTCATCATACAAGTTAGTCGTGGTCATAATGTTGAAACGGCGCAAAGATATATATTGGTTACCACTTATGTCAAAATATTTTTTACATTCACTGTTTCTAGAAGAATCAAGTGTTGTAACATCTTTTTCATTTTCAGGAATGTTGCGCTGGTCATAATTTTGATTCGCGCCGGTCTAGACTTGGACCCCAAAGCAATACGCAAACTCAAGTTCACTGTTATGAAGTTGGGTATAATACCTTGGTCCTTAGAAACTCTTCTGATCACCACATTATCGGTATTTTCATTAGGCCTTCCGTGGAGTTATGGAATTCTCTTAGGTAAGAAACAAAATATATCCATTAAGTTCTACCCTCAGAAGCCCGATTTTCAACGGTTATATGTTGTGAGGTTTTTTATACATGAAAATCCGTCCTAATTTCGCAGGTTGCGTAACACGAATCGATTCCATATAGTCCCAAACATAAAAAAATTAGAAGATTCGAATCCAGTGAACGAGTAGGCCATTCCAACGGACCGTACCTACCAATCTACTTACCTGCACTCCATTTCTCATCTGCTGAAACAATCAACCAAATCTCAAAAGATAAATTCAGTAAGACAGTTGATATATGTGATTATAACGTTGATGTTGAAGAAATTATTGAACTGGTCATTGCATTACCCTGGAAGTTGTCTCCAGTCCCCTATGAAATCACGCTTATCTCAATTAAATGCGTTTTTACCCTGGCCAAACCCATTTACATTATATTCAATATTTTTTTGAGATTTTTCATCTTTCCAGCAAGGTTTATCTA